CTTATTCAATAATGCTAGCTAGAGTCAACATATTTGTTCTCTCTCCTCCAGATGATGTCAGTAATATGCAGCGCTGTTAAATATCTTCTTCACCACCCACCAAGCCTTATTTATTCATTTGACCACTGTTTTTTTTTTTTTGTGGAGAAAAGAGGGATAGTATTATTGATTGATAGAGGGAATGAGTAACAGTACCAAAAAAATAAGACCATGTCGTCGGACTAATTGAGTAGTCTTACCCGTTCAACCGCAAAGCGGGGGCAGGAACCAAACCACTAATAGAGTATCCCATGTAGAAAAATTACATGTTACATTTATACTGACACATCTATTCAAGAACTGCATAGTCTAGCGATACGTGAAGTGCCTATAATTTTTATCAGCTGTGCAAATCCAATGCATTCTCCTCGCCTTGTTGATACAGCTCCGTGCATCAACAATTCTGCCAATTCTTCTTTGTCCAGTACTTTAAGAATGTTTTCTTATGTCATGATTGGCTTGAATGGCTCCATAAGTCCATTCGATTTGGGGGAGTCCTGCAAAATAACAAAAATGGTTGTGGTGTCACCTTCAACATCTACAGATCTGCACCAGAACTTGTCCTGTGAAGGTATATATAATGAAATAGCTCGCGGCTTTGAGCTCTCATGGTTTAACGGTGCATGTTACTTAAAATGTGGAATGGATAAGGAGAACTGCACGCTCGACAACATGAGTAAAACCAAGTGCCCTTCAATAACCAAAGGTACTATAGTGCATCTGTTAATGATTTCGCTTATTCAATAATGCTAGCTAGAGTCAACATATTTGTTCTCTCTCCTCCAGATGATGTCAGTAATATGCAGCGCTGTTAAATATCTTCTTCACCACCCACCAAGCCTTATTTATTCATTTGACCACTGTTTTTTTTTTTTGTGGAGAAAAGAGGGATAGTATTATTGATTGATAGAGGGAATGAGTAACAGTACCAAAAAAATAAGACCATGTCGTCGGACTAATTGAGTAGTCTTACCCGTTCAACCGCAAAGCGGGGGCAGGAACCAAACCACTAATAGAGTATCCCATGTAGAAAAATTACATGTTACATTCCTCAAATAGGAGGTCACTAATAAAGTCTGGAGGTTCCTCAAACAAAGTAATGGTAGAACATTCCTCAAATAAGAGGTCACTAATAAAGTCTGGAGGTTCCTTGAACAAAGTAATGGTAGAACCCACCCATTTAACTTTAATTCTTCATATTTGGTTAATTTCCTTAGTTGTCAATTTCTCCCTTGATTGTATTTTTGAGTTTTATAGGTTACCATTCTTAGTTTCATTGTCTTGTATATCGAGCTTTGCCATTTTAAATAAACACAGAATCATGACCGAATTATTCCGCATTAACATGGTATCAGAGCATGCTCTCTATCCTTGGTTAATCCCGTGAGAAAGATAAGAATGTGATGGATATGAAACTTTACACATTGACAAGATTTTGTTGTCAAATAACATTTCATGCTGTTTTGATGTGTAGAGATTGCAGTCATCTACTATAGATATATTATGTTAGAGATACTGATCAAAGGAATAGGAAAAGAGTTTTTATCAACTAAGTACGGGAGGCTAGTTTATGGTGTTTTCACTACAAATAATTTGGCGGTCAAAAGGAGACTATATACAAAATATGAAGATCTTATTTTCTTTTGCAATGCAGAACATTTGCACAAGAAGATCTTACAGTTCATACGCTCTATACCAGGCAAAGTATGGGAGATCTTACAGTTCATATACTATGCAACAGGCAAAGTAGCTGACTCTCTAATCCAACTTACATATAATTCAAAGTATACTTAATTGAATTATGAATTTATGATCGAGTTTTTCACTTGTGTCGCAGAATGGGTATCCCAGTTATATGTATTTGCGCTCACCAACAAGTGCTACAGTGATGTCCCCCTTTATCTGCTTCCATTAAGCTGTGTAATCTCTTACCTAGGTAATGTGAACTGCTTGAAATCAGTTACTGTGTAGCATTTTGCAGTTTTAGCTATTGGTAACTGAAGAATAAAAGCATTTTGGTTTTTTTATTTTCAATATTTGGTTTTTAAGTTAAAGAGATAGAGAGACAAAATGAGAAAGAAAGGAGGAGAGAGACAATCTTTGGTTTTTATTTTATTTTCAATATTTGGTTTTTAAGTCCACTTTTTGTGAACTGCGCAGGAATATTGCACACAGTCATATGCGTGTTTGGCTTTCCCTGTGCAACTGCATTAATAATATACAAATGGAAAAGGAGGCACTTGTCAATGCATGACAATATAGAGGACTTTTTGCAGAACAATAAGCTCGTGCCAGTAAGGTACTCTTACTCAAACATAAAAAAGATGGCCAAAGGCTTCAAGGAAAAATTGGGTGAAGGAGGCTATGGCTCTGTATACAAGGCAAAGCTTCGTAGCGGTCACCTTGTTGCCATCAAGATGTTGGGTAAGTCCAAAGCTAATGGGCAAGACTTCATCAATGAAGTTGCAACCATTGGAAGGATTCACCATGTTAACGTGGTGCAACTAATTGGCTTTTGTGTTGAGGGTTCAAAGCGTGCTCTCGTATACGATTTCATGCCTAATGGATCTCTTGATAAATACTTATTTTCTCAACAGGGAGTTATCTCTTTGAATTGTGAGAAAATGTTTGAAATTGCGCTTGGAGTGGCTCGTGGTATTGAATATCTGCACAGAGGATGTGAAATGCAAATTCTGCACTTTGACATCAAACCTCATAACATTCTTCTTGACGAGAATTTTCTTCCCAAGGTGTCTGATTTTGGATTAGCAAGGCTATGCCCGCTCGATAATAGCATTGTATCTTTAACAGCAGCAAGAGGAACTCTCGGATACATAGCACCAGAGTTATTCTATAAAAATATTGGAGGTATTTCATACAAAGCTGATGTCTATAGTTTTGGAATGCTGTTGATGGAAATGGCTGGCAGAAGAAAGAATTTAAATGCAACCATAGAGAAGTCAAGCCAAATATACTTTCCAACATGGGTTTTTGACCAATTGAGTGAAGGAAAGGACATAAAAGTTGGAGACGCCACAGAGGAGGAAGAGAAGATCATAAAGAAGATGATCATTGTGGCATTGTGGTGCATACAAATGAAGCCTAGTGACCGTCCTTCTATGAATAAAGTAGTTGAGATGCTTGAAGGAGAAATTGAGAGCCTTGAAATGCCTCCAAAGCCTTTTTTGTATCCACAACAAATGCCAGAAGTGGTTCCTGGGGACAATTCAAGTACCACAAGTGCATCAACAGTTACAAATTCTACAGAAATTGTTTTGATTGCTGATGCGAATCAAACAATGTAATATATAGCAATCTTGATGTGCAAGGGAGATTACGTAATGAATAAGCACAATTAGACATTTGGAAGGAAATAAATTGTAGGATTTTCAAACGCTTCTTGCCCCCTTGTTGTAACACTCAAATTGTAGGATTTTCAGTAATTGCAAAATTCTATTAGGTATGATGTGCTCTATAGAGTGTTTAAAACCTCCTAACTCCTATCTTGTTGCAGATTGGAAGATCCCTATGAGCTAATTGCTATTAGGGTTTGTTGTATTGTTAGCTTGGGATTGTCTTCAATTGGTAGGACTACCCCTGTAGGTATTTGCACTAAGGGATTTGCCCTCCTTTTTGTTAATACGTTCATTTAATTACAAAAAGAATAAATAAAAAAACAAGTCCATTTATTCTATCAAGTGCTTTCACAATTCTACACTCAAAGAAAACACTTTGAAGCTAGAATTACATTTAGATATGTGCAAGTAGCAGCTTCCCCAAGATATTGCAAATGGGGCAGCTGATTCACAATGGAATTCATACAAATATTTTCTTACCCCCTACACCACTAAAGTTTGTCCACCTTCCCATCAAGCTAATTCGAACTACAATAGTATATGTATAATCTAAAATGAAAAAGTTACAAGGTCAAATCAAATTGTATTCATGCCTTCAAACACATTCATGAGAAACATGATAGAAGTAGCTCCCCTTTGCTGAAGGTCTGTCAGCTTAAGGATCTTCAAGTTCTTCATCCTTATCTTCTGCCCAAACATTCAAAATCAATTGATCCCTGCAAAATAGGAAACTTAATTGGAGGCTCACAGAATTCATTAGAAATCTACTTGCTAAAAGAGAACCCTCATTTAATTTGAACAAAGATGTAACAAAATAATTAATGTTATTCTACATAATAGAATTAGCACAGATTTTAAAGGAAACAGAAATTTCACAAAGCAGCATTTGTGCAATAGTTCAATCACCTGAGTTGTGTTCTTAATCTTTCGGTGGGAACTCATATTGGTAAGATATTTCAATCTCCTGAGATGTGTACTTAATCTTTTCAACGAAGAGGATGACGATGGCATCTCAAGCAGAGTCTCATTTTGTTAGTGCATGACAGATCAAAGCCATGATAACCGCAATGGATTGACTGCTTACCTTTAAGTCAAAATGGGAATCGGATGCACCGCATGCACTGCATCTGCATCTACTCTGCCATGCACTGCATCTGCATCTACTACTATGAGCAACCGGCATAAGAAGTTGACCAGAAGCATTATTTCTGATGAAAAAACAGCTTGCAACATTTTGGTCTCTTGCTAAGTTATTATCTATTGTATATAAGAAAGATATATACGGATAGATTTTGCATTATACCGTTTGCGTGCACACACACACATTTATATATGGATTTTTAGCCGTTTTGACGCCTGAACTATAAGGCAATTAGAACTTACCCCCCTGAATTATTTCATCTGCCAATTTAGTCCTTCTATTTGTTTAAAATAGTCAATATGGGACCTGTCGTTAGATTTCTGGATATTTCATCCATATTTCCGTCTAAATGGACACATGAGTTGCATGTGCTTTGATGGTAATGTGGATGTCCTCAGAAAACTAACGACAGGTCCCATATGGGCTTATTTTAAACGAATACAAAGACTAATTCGGCAGACGAATTAATTCAAGAGGGGTAAGTTTGAATTGCCTCTTATAGTTTAGGGTGCAAAACAGCACTTACCCTTTATATATATATGATTGTATTTGACCTGTGGACTGGTTCAATTGCATTACCAAAACTTTTCTTTTTCTAATCTACGAGAGATAAAAAATTTGAACTTGAGACCTCTTTCAACATTGAAAATATATAAATATCAGTAAGCTGACAACTAGTTGGTAAAATGCCTTCACTATTTTCATTAAGGATTAATGCTGAATTTTTTTTGTCTTTTGGGTTGCTTTTGGTTGACTAATCAGCTTATCCAAATGGCCATATCTAATTAATATGTCCTCTTCCTTAATTTCGATAAATTCCTATTGGATTGAATGCCTCTTCCCTTCCTCCTAATATTCTCTCTCACCATGTCTAGAGGAAGTCTCCTATTTGTTGCACACATAGCCCTTCTTCTTCTTGTTCCTCCTATGTTATGTTTCCAAACATCCACCGTTGAAGATAGTACCCTTTCTTGTGCCAATATAAACGTAAAGTCTCCATTTCACTTAAAAGAAGGCCCTCAAAATTGTAGCCGCAACGCTTTTGAGCTATATTGTGAGAAAAATGTTACAATAATATGCTTGTATCGGTTAAAATATTACGTAAAGGCGATCAATTACAGTGACTGGACAATCCAAGTTGTGGATGCTGGTGTTCAGAAGAAAGAAAACTACTTCTCCAACCCACTTTACACTTTAACCTCCTACAACTATACTGATGATGGAGATCCTTTTTTCCCTGGTCGTTATTATAGTTACAAATATATTCAAGAACATAGTCTAGCGATACGTGAAGTGCCTATAATTTTTATCAGTTGAGCAAATCCAATGCATTCTCCTCGCTTTGTTGATACAGCTCCATGCCTCAACAAGAGCATGTTGAGTTGTATTCTAGCTAGTATTCTTTTAGCTTTCCTTGCCAACTTTGTAATAGGACATGTAATGTATTTCCCAAGCTCAAGGTTATTAGACTAGGTTAAATTGTTATCTAGTTGTTCTCCAGTGGCTTTGATCATCAATGGCTCAACATAATCAAGGGATGCCAAAGGTAAATTTTGCATTGCATTCATTTGATTGCATTATGTTATGACTAGTCATCTTTCATGTGTTTGACTAGTCATCTTTTGTGCTTAATGAGTTCTGCCAGCTCATTTCGTTTTCCAGCTGGGTCCTAACAAATTTTGTCTTATTCTTTAATATTCTTCTACTACCATCCATCTGTTTCAGACCTAGGAATTTTGGGTAAATGGTCCCTTCATTCCTTTTGGAGCCGTCACTTTAGGAAAGGTGTTTTTAAGAGGTTGTGAGTTTCTCCTCCTTTGCTCTCATTTCCCTTGGAGTGATTTCTCCATCTTTTCATAAATGAGTTTTTCAAATTGATTTTGAAAACTGCTTTGAAAGATGAAATCTGCATCTAGCTAAATCAAACAAATTCTCATATAGATCTAGGTCAGATTCTAGATTGATTTCTTAAAGAATATGGTTTCTTTAAGAAATTGATTATTTCATTTTGAATCCAAATTTCTTGTTCTTGTTTGGAGTTGAGCTGTGTGAGTTGGTGTCGTCGGATGAACGAGCTGAGGAGGAAGCTGTCATTGCCATGAAGAACTAGCTATAAGCTTTGCTAAGTTTGGAAAAGAAGATTGCATGGAGGCGGTATACCTCATTTTCTAAATAGATCTAGGTTTCCTTAACCTCGCTTGTGATTTCTCTGTAAGAGTCTTCTTTGCTTAGTGGATTGCCTGGTCGGATGATGACTCCCAATTTTTCCCAATGATGGGTTTATGGGTGAACAATTTTCTGGGTTTGTTGTTCATGTTTTTCTGGTGTTGTGTTCTTGTTGTTGACTAGTCATCATTTGGATGTTGCTATATATATTTGATCTTGATGTATTCACACACACTACTCACCTTAGTTGTTGCTAGCACAGGGGATGCCCTGATTGACGGGTCCTTTTGAGTGCCTAGGTTGTCACGAGTGATCTTCTAGGCTCAGGTATTGGCTGTTTCATCTGCGTGTGTGATTGTTGCTAGTTTATGACTAATAGTTGACTAGTCATATTGATCTCAGGTTAAGATTTGTGTAGTTGGTAAGTGTTTAAAGTAGCATTTAATTACCCCTTTTCACCTAAGTACTAATTTCATTTTTCCAATTCTTCTTTGTCCACTGCTTTAAGATTGTTTTCTTATGTCATGATTGGCTTGAATGGCTCCATAATGCGATTTGGGGGAGTCCTGCAAAATAACAAAAATGGTTGTGGCTTCACCTTCAGCATCTGTAGATGACTTGCAACATGTGGAATCGTTGAGGCAAACTGTACGACCAACGAGGGTAAAATCGAATGCCGTTCAAAAGGTATAGTGCATATGTTAATGATTTCTCTGTTCATACCAAAATTAACATAAGTTAATTCCTAGAGTTATAAGGCCAGTCTCTTGGTTAATTGACTGTGGCCCAAACCATCAAGAGTTTGCCCATCATCTGCAAAAGCCCAATTAGCGACTAGCACGGCCCAAAGCCCTTCGGACAAGTTGCAAACATTGACCAACACGTGGTCAACCAACGTTTCGGACACAAGCAGCACTTCAGAAACAAGTGTCCGAAGCTACAGTGCATGGCTTCAGACACTAGTGTCCGACACTACAATAACACTTCCGACATAAGAGATGTCTGATGCTACAGTTCCATTTCGGACAGAAAATGTCTGAACTACAATAAAATCCAATTAAGGTGTTTTAATAACCAATCTAAGTGGTTTTTAATCACAGTCCATTTAACAAACAACACGAACTAATTGGACAACAATTTGAGCTTTGTGTTGGAAACAATTCAAACTGTTTTGTTTATATAGGTGGTACGCACTGATTTCCAGCAAAGCAATAAAAAAAAAAGTCTGATTTGGCAGAGAATATTCAGTCCCTGAAAGGCAAAGAATGGTAAAAACCTCAAAGCTGGCCCATTGTGGCACCTCCTGCATAATAGTCCCAAAGTTCGAGACTGAAGAACACCTCCACTGATCAACTTGAAAGGCATTCGTGCATTATCTTGTAAATTCTTTATGGTTTGAAGCAGCAATGCCCATCAAGTCATCCTTTTTTTTGAAGACCTTGAAGCCTATAAATATAGGAAGAAAGCTCAATATCAAGGATCGAACAGGGAATCAATCAAACCTATATTTTGAACAGTCTTCAAAATACGTTTACTCTCGACAATCTTGAAGTAACCCAAACTCAAACTCTTGCAAAGCATCTCCCTGCAGACCAAAGCCAATTCTTGAATCAAATCCTCTCTGTTTCTTTGAGTTCCCAATTGACAACTCCTGATTGGAATTTTATTCTTTTCCTAAACACATACTCTGTCCAGTTCCCAGTTGACAACTCTTGATTGGAATTGCATTGCTATTGTTTGTAATCTATATGCTTTGCCAGCATCGCTTGGTATGATTTGATGGTTGGTCTCGATTTCCAG